TGCTGCGCGTCGGGTTGCCTCGCGCTGGTCGCGAGGCTGCATCGAAAACGAGTAACCTCGTGTCGAAGCACGTTCGTTACCGACGCGAGATTGAGTAACGCGTCCTTGGCCATTGTCCAAACCGAGCCGAAACGATCGTCGAGGAACGAGCGTGACGGGGTCCTCTCGGTCGCCGTCGAATCGCGTCACGCTCGGAACGTTTTACGCGTCTTTTTCGCGTCTTTTTCGCGGAGATGTTCGACGAGGGCCGCCTCGAAAATTGGAAACGGCCGTAATTCCAGGGAATCGAGGAAACGTTCGACCTTGGGGAGAACGCGATCGAGGATCGTACCGCGCGGACAACGGGCAGCGGTTCTACCTATTGAAATTCCATTTGGGCGCGTTACGCGCAACCTTGTCGCTAGCGATCATTTTCACGACGACGATTTAGCTATTCCGTCCTTGTGCTCGATTGGCCCTCGTTTGCGACCATCGAGACTGAACAGTGTTCGCGAGGAAAAAACGCGAAGGGCTCGTCGCGCGCTTCGAAATTAGCGACTAATCGAATTCGCGATTTTCGCGAGATCGCACAGCGGTGACGTTTCCTAAAAGGAGAAACGTCGAAAGTAGGAAAGTGAAAACGAAACTTCCGTCTTCGAAGGGTATACCGATGCTCCGAAAGAAACTGCAAGCGCGAATCGAAACAGAGGAGAGACTAGTAAAATATCGTGCTTTAGCCGTTGAGTAATGCTCGCTGTCGACGTTACAGTCGCGAAGATCACTTCACTATTTATCTTATCGAATTTATTTCGAACAACCAGCTAAATCCTTGCATTCGTTCGTTGGGCGTATTCTCTATGGCGATGCTCTATGGAATCGAACGGTAACCTGTTAATGTACTTGGCAGATCGATAGCGTCGCGATCGTTATCGAATGTCTGGTGAAACGATCGATGCAGAAGAAGACATCGTACGAATTGTAGAAGATTACCGCGAAAGGGAAAGAAATCGGTAACTATGACCTATTACGCGAGCGTCGCTGGAAGCGTAACGGAAAAAGAGAATCAGAGTCGGGGTGCGGTGGAGTGGCAGCATTGTTTCGTCGTTCTTTAGAACACTCTGCGCATTAGCGTCGTGAATCGGTACGATGCTCGCAGCTTTCCTTCCCTTTTTCTCTCTTTTACACGGTTTTCCGCCTTTCCGTTTTCACCGTTTCACCGGTTTCTTCGTCTCCGCTATCCATTCGTTTACCTGGCTGCCACTTTCCGCTCTCGACTCTATTTTTCTCGGGGAGACTCTTTCGCCTCGGCAGACTCATCGAGACCTTATCGTTAAGAAATAATCGGACGATATCGACGCGGAGCGCGTTACGATAAATACCTTGGAAGGGAAAGGTTCGATCTTTCCTATTTCCGTGACATTTAGAAGAAGGATAGAGGCAAGGCGCGGAGTGGACGAAGAAGGAAAGGTTCGAAAGACGCGAACTGCCGCTCGTTATTCGAGCTAGACGATTCTCGTCAGCTTGAGCCGGCGTGACAAACGACGGACATTATCCCCGGCTCGC